TGACCAGGATGGTCTCGATCTCTTGACCTCGTGATCCACCCGCCTCGGCCTCCCAAAGTGCTAGGATTACAGGCTTGAGCCACCGCGCCCGGCCAGTTTTAAAAATTATAATACTGGTAAATAAGCAGGGAAAAAAATAGCCCAGAAAAGACCCAAATATATGGAGGAATTCTGTTTATAATTTGCAAAGCCCACTTAGCATGACAACCAGCAGAGAGGTCTCAGATATATTCTGACCTTCACAATCACAGGATCAAATAAACTATAGCCTGAAAGGAGGTTCATCTAACTTTGCAGGATATTCGGCAGGAAATACAGTATGCCGCCATATCGGCTTCAAGGATGTTGTCTTCAGCAGCAATTCAGACAACCAGAAGCCATTTTTTAATCTCCCAAGTGATGGTTCACTTGTAAGCAAGATGACAGGGTCTAACTTAGGTAAGCTTCAGGTGTTACAGAAATCTATGCAATAAACAGCACATGACTGTAGTTTCTTGGTCCCTACACAAGACAAACTGCACGCATATAAGGAAGCCAAGGTCTATGCTTCTGAATAGAAATGTATAGTCCATTCAAAGACTTCCCTACCAAGATGCAATTCTGTTGAAGGATCACTCTAAAATAAGCAATGCTGTCTTATAACAGAGGTGAATTTATCTTAACCAGAGAAATACAAGGAGAGGGTAAATTCAACGTGATCTTCCCACTGAAGATGGGTCTTAAGCCTGGTCAGCCTGCTACTCTGTAATGAAAAGATGTATAATTATTCAAGTGGCTACTAATAGCTATCTAGAAAAAAAGTTAACTTTTATATTTACTACATAACTTAAGATCTTAAAATTCCAGAAGGATTGAAGATTAAAATATAAAAGATGATGAAACCGTAACAGTACTGAGAAAGCTGTTCTCAAAATGTGGTTTAGGGGCCCCAGCAGGTTGCTGAAGACTTTTTCAGGGTGTCCCCAAGGTCAGTTTTTTATTCCATAATACTACTAAGACCACATGCATACAATGGAGTTTTTTGAGAGGCTGCATGACTGGATATGATACAGTATAATAAAAAGTGTCAATATTTGCAAGATCTACATAACTCAGTGAACCAGTATATTACAAATGATAAATGCATATATTAAAAAGTCATCCATAGGGACTACATACTATATGATTCCAACTATATGACATTCTGGAAAATGCAAATTATGAAGGCAGTAAAAAGATCAGTGGCTGCCAGGAGTAAGTGGGGAGGGATGAACAGGCAAAGTACAGAGGATTCTTAGGGTGATGAAAGTAATCTGCATGATACTATAATGGTGGCTACATGTCATGACATTTATGTCAAAACTCGTAAAATGTACAACACCCAGAGTGAACCCTAATGTAAACTAAGGACGTTGGGTGATAATGATATGTCACTATAAGTTCACTAATAACAAACACTCTGGAAAAGGATGTTGACAGTGGGGAAGCCTAGAAGTTAGTGGGGAGGGCAGAGTGTACATGAGAAACTCTGCCTCTACTAGTAAATACTACAAAAAAATTAGCCGGGTGTGGTAGCGCACGCCTGTGATCTCAGCTACTTGGGAGGCTGAGGCAGGATAATTGCTTGAACCGGGGAGGTAGAAGTTGCAGTGAGTCAAGATCATGCCATTGCACTCCAGCCTGGGGAGCCTGGGCGACAAGAGCAAAATCCCGTCTCAAA